TATTTTATTATTTTTATTTTATGTGTATGAGTGTATTGCCTGCATGTATGTGAGTGTACCTGTGTTGTGCAATGCTGCAGAGGTCAGAAGAGGGCTTCGGATTCTCCTGGAACTGGAGTTAAGGGCGGTTTGTAGACTCCATGTGGGTGCTGGGAATTGAGCCCGGGTCTTTTTGTTTCATGTGTATGAGTGCTTTCCTGCACCATGTGTGAGCAGGTCCCCTTGGAGGCTAGAAGGGAGTGTTGGATCTCCTGGAACTGGAGTTATGGATGGTTGTTAGCTGCCATGCGGGTGCTGGAAAATAAACCCAGGTCCTTTGCAAGAGCAGCAGTAAGTGCTCTTAACCATTGAGCCACCTCTCTAGTCCCAGAACTTTTTTTTTTAAATAACAAATTTCAATCTAGTTTGGGAAAGTAAGATATTAAATGAATATCTGAACAAAAAAGAAATCAAGAATATAATAGAGGTAATATTTATTTTAATAGCATCACAGTTTGTAAGGAAAACAAGATAAAAGAAGAAAATACTGTTATGTTCTTATTTAAGGAGATGTGCTATGCACTAATCTCTTCCAGTTATTAATAATTTACCAGAAAGTTTACTGTCATATAAACAATACCTTGCATGACTTTATTTTTGTTTCTTTTGAGACAGGGTCTTACTATGTAGTCCTGCCTGGCCTGGTAACTCCCTATGTAGACCAGGCTGGCCTCATACAGAGATCAGCCTGCCTCTGCCTCCTGAGTGCTGGGATCTGGCCCAAGAATCTTCTTCATATACAATTAAAAAGTGTGGGGTTTTTTTTTTTTGAGACGGGGCCTTGTATTAGTCACTTTTCTGTTGCTGTGGTAGAAACACTGACCGAGCAACTTAAAGAAGGAAGAGTTTATTTGAGCTTATGGTTCCAGGGGAATTATAGTCCGTCATGGCAGGGAGCCTTGGTGGTTGGAGGTGGCTAGAGCAGGAGCAGCAGAAGCTAAGCTCTCACATCATCACATAGGTACAGGAAGCAAGAGAACAACTGGAGCTCTGGCAAGGCTTAAGAACTCTCTAAGCCCACCCCCAGTGATGTGCTTCCTCCAGGATAACCACACCTTCTAAAACCTCCCAAAACAGCACCATCATCTGGAGACAAAATGTCCAAATACTTGGAGCCTATGGGGAACATTTTGATTCAAACCACCACAGGTGTCACTACGTGTAGCCATTGCTGGCCTGAACTGGCTATGTGTACTAGGCTAGCCTTGAACTCTTAATGATCTGCCTGCCTCTGCCTCTGCCTCTACCTCCTGAGTACTGGGATTAAAGGCACACCCACCATACCTGGCTCAAGTTTTAGGTTTTGAATAAAAAAAATTATCTTTATCATTCATAAAAGTTTAGATTTTATATAGTAACCATCACATCTTCATACATTTTCAGAAATTATTTTATGAGGGAGGTGCAAGACAAGGTGAGGTTGAAGCAGATGGAAATTTTCTTCTATAATTAATAACCCAAACAGTACCAATGTACCCGAATGAGAATTGATAATGCAAAGATACTCATATTGAATTAGAATCTTCATCTTCAATTATTTTATTAAGTATAGCCATGCTTACATCATGATATTTTGGCCAAAGACTGAATTCTCAATGGAAGGCCTATAAGAGCATAACAGAAGCCAGGTGTGGTGGTAGATGTCTCCAATCCTAACATTTGAGGACTGGCCTACAGAATCATTCTGTC